CTTTCTACAGCCCTCTGCACCCGCAAACCATACAGCCTAGAGCTCATAAACTACAGATAGTTGTTAATCTATTCACATTACCTGATTATTGAAGATAAAAAGAATCATTGTAATATAATTGTACGTTTGCAGAATGTGTCAAAGGAGGAATTTTACTTGTCATGTCCATATATTCTCATCTTTCAGTTTCAAATGCCACTATCTTCTTGTTACTTGTAGATAGATCACTTACATTATTTGCATTTCTATAAATTTTAAAATTCAAGTCAAGCTATTTGTTTCTGATTTTGAACAAAAAGAAATTTGAGCATATTCTGAAATGGCAATGCTGAATTGAAAACCAGAAGCGGTGGCTCAGACCATTACGTTCCTAGGACAGGAGGAACTGCTCTGAGAACATCTGCACTAAGCACCTCAATAATCAGACCTGCAGTTTGGAAATGATTTGTCCACGATGCATATATAACCTGAGTGGCAGCTGCACAAAAACTGCAGGAGCTTTGTGCTTTTTTAGAGTAAGGCTAGCTGGGCAGAGCAAGGTCTGTACCCACAAATATCTATCATTGTTCATCTCGTTCCACCTGTAGAACAGGTATTTAAGAAGCTGCTTGGATAGCAGCTACCTGGTAACCTAGAGGAAGATTTTTCTGTAACACTCTCCAAAGTTTGGAAAAATTCTTGCATTGGGCTTTTACTACATGTGTTATTAATATAATAAAAGATTAGCTCAATACATCAATTTCTAAAGGTTGGAAACCGATAATACAACCTAGTTCCTGAATTTAACATAAAATCCAAATTTTTTTCTAGCAAATAACCTCTAGTAAGATTAGGCAGTGTCTGCCATGCTACAAGATTCAACACTAGCAGCTGAGGTGTGTCTTAGGCATGGAAAGGATTTCATTAGTGCAGAATTCTAATGATGTTTGTGATTCCCACGTATCCTCTGTTAGCAGTCTTGGGCTACATCCCTTCTCCAGTACTGCTGTGATGGGATTTTGGCTGGGGCATGACCCGCTCTCGTGTGAGATCCTCTAGGCAGACAGAGGAGCTGCCTCTGGCAGGCTGGCTGCCCTGTTAACCCACCCCATGACGTAGCAGAAACCAAACACAGCGGCTCCAGATAGGGGCAGAGCTCTACCCCAGCCCAAGACAAGCAGATGAAGTTTCCACTGAACAGGAGGATTTTCTGTCCTTTGGTACCCTACTGATGCCGAAATGGAGGCAGGCAGCTCTTCTGCCCCCTCCTCCTTCTTCTTGCTTCTTTCTACATCACCTTCCACTCCAAACCTGGCAGATTGTTTCATTTAGTAATTCACCGTGTCTCTAGGACCTATGTTTTTATTACTGTGCTGTTGCAGAGAGGAACAAAATGCCAATAAATGGAAGTAAATGTGATGGTAAAGTCTGCTTGGGAGAGACTATGCTAGTTTGGGGAGGGGGGGGTGGGGGGGGTGGGGGGCGATTTTTTTTTTTTTTTGGTTATTGTTGAAGGACTTGAGGGTTTGTGACTTGGAGTGTTTGGAAGCGAGACCAATGAAAAGAATTTGTGTACATAGATTGCATATTTTTAGGGAGGTTATCAAAGGTAACTAGAGGCTTGGGCGTATGTTCTTTGGATGTTTTCTGTTGCAAAAACCGAAATATGTAAAGTCAGGAAATTCAAATTTGCAGTTCTTGCAACACATGTAACGTGGATGAGATACAAAAGATAAAATCTGTGATATGTGGCGTGATATGCAGGATAGAGTTATGCCCTAGTACAGTGACTTTCAGTTTGCCTTTTTCAGACCTTTTAGAAGTAATCTGTTGACATTTGTCCTCTGGCATCCAGAATTTAAAAGCTGGAAGTCACTGCTAGCTGATCTATGTAACCAACATGGGCTGATAATCCATTCTCTGACTGGCTACTTTACAGCAGTATATTTCGGTACTTTTTTGAAACACTGTAGCATATTTTCAGAACACAGGTTGTGCCGTGAATTGGTTTTATATTCAGAATACTAGACCTCTGTTTCAATCACCAGGCATTGCTAATCCTTGGAAACTCTTAGATACAGTTTAGTAAGTCGAGTTTCTTAGAAGACTGTATTTTTAGTGTGCTTGATGCTGCCTGTCATACAGATGTGAGTTTAAAACGATAACTATTACAGATTAAACAAATATACTAGAGAAAGAACTTTAAAATGTGGTGGTTTGCAACATGATTTTGACAGTCTCAAATATTATTTTCTAGTTTATTTTGTAAAATAACGATGCTCACAGGACCAATCCAAAAAGTTAGAATGGCAGTTAAATGACTTCTGTGAAAACGTCAGTGTTATCTAAGTATGACTTTCAAATCTGCTAGATCGCCTGTTGATTCTAGGTTTCCAGCACAAATAGGCATCAAACGGTATCCTTTAGTCAGGAGAAATTTAAGGACAGCCACATTTAATTTGGCAGCTGAAAAATGACTTTGCTACGAGATTGCACATATAGAGTAACTACAGAATCAGGGACAACTATTTTTGTTCCTGACCGTGCGCATGTGAAACCTGCCAGTGCATGTTGAGCACTTGACCACCATTTGTGACACTTGCAGGAGAATTCTGACTTGTAATGTTCAGAAATTATCTAGATATAAATGCATTTATTTCTGGCCAACTGTACTACTTAGCTCTGAAAGCTTTCTGTCGTGAGTTTTTGGTACTGAATTGACAGACTAGCTCGGAGAGGGAGGGTTAAGGCTTTTTTGAGTCGTTTCTTTGAATTCTGTTTCTGGGTTCTTTTTCTTTTCTATTTATCACCTCTCAGATACACATGTGGTATTAATTAAAATTATTCCCTGCGTGGTAGCAATTTGAGGCTTCTCTGTTCTTTGTGACTTTTGAGAATTGATTAATGGAGGAGGTGAAACGTTACTGCCACGTTACATTATTATCTCTCACTTGCATTTTAAGAAGTAGCTCTTTAATTTCCAACTTCGATTTTGTCTACACAAGCAAAGTCACATGCTCAGAAATGTAGTATTTCTGTGTTCAGACATTCTGGAAACCTTGCTTTTAATTTATCCTTCTTAAAAGTAAGGATTCCCATAATGTAATACTTGTTACAGGCCTGAAGTCAATTTTAAACACTTGCCGAGAAATGTGTATGAGCTGTCATCTTATTCTGTTGTCCAAAAATTGCCTCATTTTATAGCAGTTGTTTGTAGACAGGCACATACATAAATGAATGCCCACTGCACAGTGTCCTGGATGTGTATTTGATGTTGTTTTTCTTGTGATGGGAACTATGGTTCCTTACTATGACAGCTCATGGTAAAGCAAGATAAGCCAGGTAGGCAGGCTGTCGCCTATGTGATGAGAATGATCTGACAGAATTTGAACAGGAACACCAAGGAGCACGTTCCTGTGCCAAGCATAGGAAGAGGATTCACAAATTTACTGTGAAACCAACTTGAGCTTGCTAAGGTACGCATGCTTTAGTGGAAGGGAATAATCTAATGCTTGTGTCTCTCTTTCCAGTGGAGGAAACACCCAGGCTGCAGATTTCCCATCGTATGTTCATGCATATAGGACCTCTGTCTTTTTGCTTTGTAGAACAGCATCTTCAGGAGAACTGAGGAACACAGATTGACATGGAACTGACAGAGGTCCAACAGCATGAAATATGTTGTCATAGTGCTTATGTTGGGAGCAAAGCCTAATTTTACTGTGAAAATAAAGCTGAAATTAAACTACTATAGAATTTTTTTTCCCCCTGGAGGCATTTAATGATCTCTTGCTAATGTTCCATTCAGAGTATAATTGCTGTATGTAAAGTAATTACAGCTCAGCTTTGTGTAAGTGTGGGCTGAAGCTCAAATCTCTTTTGCGGCCTTTAATCAAGCTCTAGCCATATCTCCTGTTCTGTGAATCCTTTCATTTTAGGTGCAGAAGTAGGAAGCATTTCTCTGTGGCAGGATTTATTTGTGTCCTTACTTTCAGCTCACCTGATGTTCTAGGGCGAACTGGTTGGCGAGAGAAGGGAATGGTTAGAACCAGTGAAGAGCAGTCACTTCTCTCTAACAAGCCAGCACAAATGTTAAATAGTTTTAATCCTCAATGACTTTTCTGTGCAGCTGCTCTGCACCATGGACCTGTCTCCCCTGAAGGCTATGCCAGGGGTCAGAGCAAGAAAGGAGAGTTCATTCGTTAAAGGAACCTTATTCACTTCTTGCTTTCAGTTTAATTTATAATGTTTCTTCTCAAGTGTTTTCTTAAAGCCAGTTGCTATTGTAGAACAACTTTGAATAGATTAAATAACAGTGTTGTCTTGAGGATGCTCAGAGGTGTGTTTGCAACTAGCTTTAAATATAGCTTACTGGCTATATGAAGAAGGAATATGGGAAACTGAAGTCTTAAATTTATATTACTATTCATATGGAGTAGTAAACTGTTCACAGTGGCTGGCCCATTCCCGTGTTCTCATCCTTTCTGAGAGTAAATTCTGCGAATCTCATTTTGCATGAGACCACACCAGACTGCTTATATATCACAGCACAGATCCCTGTGGGACTTAACTGTAAACACTGCTCACATACTCCTATACAGTTTACTATTTTTTAAGTTATTCCTTGTCTATACAGAAAGCCTTCCTTGCATGATGAATGTCAAGCAGATTTTGCTCAAAACTAAAAATTTGTTAATGTAACAGTAAACATTTGTAAAGTCCTGCACAGAGTCTTGTATTAAACAAGTTAGTTCATAGCTGCAAACAGTGCTCTCGTGCATGGAGATGCAAGCATAAAATTCTTGTTTAGCTGGATCTTACAAGCCCCAGACTTAATTGTTCAGAAGTTATATACACACACAATTCTCCCACATGTCTAAAAGTCAAGATTAACTTGATGTGACTGCAGTTAAGACAAGTTCTGTGTTTAATTTTTGTTGTCATTTTGAGTCAAGATTAGTGTTGCTGTGTGAAACAATGAAATTTGTTCTCAACTTTTTTTTTTTTTCCTCCCCTCAATGCAGAAAAACTTCACTGGCCTAAGACAGAGCTTTCCAAGAAATCAGTCCTGAGTCCAGTAGAACATAAGCTGAACATTAATAATGAAAACAGGCTCCAGCACCCACCTTCTGGGATCCTTAAGGACATTTTCACAACAGGAACCAGTAGCTACAATGTCCTTCTGCAGAGCAAAGAGGAGAAGAAACACCACGCTCAAAAGCAGTCATCTGCTCACCACAAGAAACACAGAAAAACCTCAAAGTGTACTACCACCTTGCGAAGCAACGAGCACCGCAAAATCAAAGTCCCGCTACCCTTGCTCAGCAGTGGGTGGTACTGCACAAACAGACAGCCCTCTGTCCTCGTCACTGGCCCAGTGTCTACCAGCATGAAGTTTGCAAACAGTATTTCGGTTGCAGGGAGCAGCATAGGACTGCCATCTCGACCCAGAAGTAGAACGAAGAGGCATTTTAATCTAACAAAGCCAAAGCAATCCCAGTCCTCAAAAAGCCACGGAAACGAAGGTGATGTCTCTGGCCAAAAACTCTGTTTACTCACTGCAATCAAGCCTTCCAATGTGGAAAAAGAGAAGATGAAATTCTTCAAGTCAGATTTCGCATACAATCCTCAATTTGAGTATTCAAACCCTGCTCTGCCAAATGTGTTAGCTAAGCACAGCCATGCATCTGACAGATTTCTTAAGCAGGTATAGT